CTCTTGGGTTGTTGGAGGTTCTCTTTATATGAGGAAATCTCTCATTTATGGAGAGATTAGTTTTGTTTGTTTTAAACTTCTTCCAGTGAGTGTTGATTATTTTATTAGATAGAAGACTTAAGGTTTAATATGGTCAAATTGGAAGGGGAATGTCTTCAAGACACAAAGGGAGGAAAATATTTTCAGGTCAAGGTGCACATAGGTCAGCTTACAGACAGGTCAAAGTGCATGCAGGTCAGCTCATAGACAGGAAAGGCTGATCTGGGAATTGACCTGCCTTTCTGTCCTATGTGAGTATCAGGTTTGTCTATTTTCATTAAGATCAGTTTGTTCAGTTCTAGGAAAAATTATGCTAGGATTTCACTTGAAATTGCATGTAATTTACATATTAATTTCAGAGAAATTGGCCGGTTTAAGGAATTGAGAGTCCAACAAAGTACATGACCTCTTGCTCTCTTCATTCCTGTCTCATCTCTCTCATAAACATTTAGAAGAACTTTTATTATTAGTGTATATTAATTGTACAAAAGGCTTCATTGTTATTACTTCATATATTCATTTAATGCTCTTTGATCAAATTTACCCTTTGATTACTTTTTTTATAAAAATTTTATTATGAAAATACCATACAGAGGAGTTACAATTACATGGGCAAGATAATGAGTACATTTCTTATCAAGCATTGTTGCTTCCTCCTTTGTTTCCCTTTCCATCCCTTCCCCATATTCCGCCCCACACCCATATCCCCCCCCCCGCACCGCCAAAGTTGTAAAGTTCGTTTTTCGACATAACGACTTGTACATCTCATTGTTGCAGTGGGTCTACCTGTATCCCTATTTGAACGATTTGTTTTTTTCCGTTCCCCTCCACAAATTATACCAACATCAAATACAGTGAAAGCAGGGGTTATTTCGTGGGGGAGGGACATACAAAACAACAAAGAAATCATCTTATAAATATGTTAGAAACAATCACATTTGAATACTTATCTTGGGGTTCATTTCACCTAACATCAACTTATCTGACCTTATCTGCTTGTCTCAGACATATACTAGTTATTACAAATAAGGGAAACCATGGGGCCTATGTTTCTTTCTTTGATTACTCTTATCCTTCTCTCTTAACAGCCAATAGGTTTTGTTATCCTGTTTTTATACACCTGGAAAATTTTTCTTGATGGTCTCCTTTACCACATTCTTGACTAAGCATCATTTTGTGTCCTTTTTACTCAGTGTGTGACCCCTTCCTCCCTCTACCTACAGTGCCCGGACCTGCCTTCTTACCTGTCCCCCTCCTACTGGGTGGGGTGGCAAGAGTGAAGACAGGCCATGGGAAGCAGCGGCTCTGTAGCACCTCGTTCCTAAGCCTCTCCGCAAACATTTAGTGTTTGTGTCTGTTGGTTGGGCCTGCAGCTGCTGTCTTCTCTTTCTTTGTAAGTGGCTGTGTATAAGTTCCCTGATTTTACCAGGGAAACTATATTGCTCTTCGTGTCTCACCCTTGTTACTTGGGAAGCCTCCTCTAAACACCATGACCATCCGGACAACATTTATTTCCTTGAGTAAGTACCCCCATCAACCTGCTTTTATTTTGACTTTTAAAATCATTTTTAGATTCATCCTAGTCCACACTGGAAATCTTGTAGAACGATAAAGCAATGGAACAACTTCATATCTTGGATTGGCATTGATATCCCTTGGCATGTATAATCAAACAAAACCCTTCAGTAGAATTAGATTGGCTTATTGTCTGACTCTGGTGTCACTGCCATCCACTGCAACTTAATTCCATGCCACCATATATCTTTCCTTCTTTGCTTCTACTGGGGAGCAGGTTTTTAAATGCAGGCAGATACCGTGTTCCTCTTTTCTACGCTCACTGCCCGCACACAATAGCTGCCAATTGCCTGTTCTGGGAGCCCATTGCTGTGGTCCCTTCACACATATAGGAACCTTCAGGCCTGTTGGCCCACATGAGCACATACGTATTTTTTTCCAGTGGGATAGCAACGTGCCAAAGCTGCCATAGCGTCTGTTGTGGCACTACATAAGGAGGTTCAGTGGCTTTTCCACTAATTTCAGGCTAGTGTAATGGAGGAGAGGGTAGGAACAGATACTGAATTTCTCTAATGGAGCTTATGTTGTGGCCTTCACAATGTATGCATGACCACAGCACTTAACACAATTCACAGTGAGAAAGTATCTGTCCTGACCAGAAGATCAGAAATCTGGGTTCTCAGCTCTGTAATTCCTTTACCAGTCAGGCAGTTTAAAGTTTCATGTATATATGTTTATAAATATAATTAAAATAATAAAAAGTCCAGTTCTCAAACATTGTTTTAAGCCATATAGGGCTTTAAAGGTATGTTTTATGAATCACATATTTTCCGTTTGAAAAACTACCGTGATTGCTTTGAACTCTTAAGTGTCCAGAGGTATCTGTGTTGTTTCCATTTTCAGAAGAGTTTACCCTAGAAAAAAACATTTTTGGAAACGAATTCTTTGTGGAAAATTTGAAGCATATCCAAAAATAGATGAGTGTGCTTAACTACCTCAGCAGGAGTTCAGGCCAGTGAGCTAAACCAGTCCTTCCCTTGAATTATTTGAACGTAAATCCCTTACAGCATATTATGCCATCTGCAAATATTTTAATATTTTTCTACAAAACAAGGACTCTAAAAACAATAAACACGACACCATTATCATTGCCTAAAAAATGTAACTAATATGCCAGCCTGCTAAAATATGCAGACTTGTATTGTCTCTAAATTCATTGATCTGTTCTATTTTCCATTTCTCTTGTACTGTGTTACTCTTGTGCTGTGTATGTTGCAAGGGGTGGGGCGGGTGGCATTTTGTACCTGTTTTGAAGGAACAAGGCATTTATTTTGTGTATTTTCATTGTCTAGATTTTGCTGATTATATCTTTGTAAGTGCTTAACGGTTTTCTTTTTTCCTCTGTATTGTGTCCAAATTGGTAGTTAGATGGAAGGGATAATATGATTTAGGAAGATACATTACTGTAGCGGGATCATTTGAACAGAATGAATGCTCTGGGCAAGGATAATGATGTTTTAGCTCTAAAGCTTTGCCTGCAGTAGAAACAGTTCAGATATATGGCTCCTGTCTCAAACTTTGTTGTTTTTCTTTGCTGATACTAACTTGTCAGAGCTATGCATGAAAGCAATAAGAAAAAGGTTTTGAGGGAAAGCTAAGTTATCTTCCTGTGAATGAAGTCCATTTCCATGACTGATTTGGGAATGTTGATTTGGGCAAAGCTGCATGGTTGAACCTGGAAGGATTTTATGTAGTTTAAAATGTTTAGATCTATAACAATATACTAGCGATGAGTACCTTTTAAAATAAAAAAAAATCTTGTTAGCTTAGCTGCTGTGGAAGCAGACTCTTGATAGGTCATCTGCATTTTGAGTTTGGGAAGAAAACAGTATATTTAGTTTGTAGGGCTGATTTAATAAGATAATATTCATGGTGGCATAAAAAAGATCGAATGGCTTCCGCCTAGCGGTCAGCAGTTAGCAGTGGGTCTCACTTGGCACGCAGGGCTCTGTTTCTCTCTGGAGGTGTTTTTGGCTGCTTCAGGCTGTCTGGGTTCCTTGACTCAATGGCCTGTGCACCTACAGAGGAGCCGGCGGCTGCTCTCATGATGTCCCTTTGACTCCTAGACCTGTGCCTCCTCCACTCCTCCTTCTTCCCTTAAGGGTTCCCATGATTACTTTGGCCCCACCTGGAGAACCCTGGAGAATCTCCTTGCATTGACATTGTTAATGCTACCCACAGCTGTATGTTTATTCACCTGTATGTAGATTCCTTGGGCTAGGATGGCCCTGAGTTCAAAAGTTACCCCTGATCTGATCATATCATTCTGCCAGTCTTTTGATATGCCAGGTGATGTCTTTTACTTTTAAATTCTATGGAAAACAAGCGATTTCAAGTTTTGAGTTTCCTGTGAGTGTGGCCCAGAAAGGCGAATCTCCTGTGTGGTGAGGTAGCAGGTGGGGGCCTTATGAAGGCAGGAACGTGGTGGTGGTGGGAATGGGATTGAGGCAGTGGGGCAGTGGCAGATGGTGTGGGGACAGCACCCCCTGGGCAGGGCTGGGGAAGCACTTGGTGTCCTCTCAGGCAGAGGGCAGTTTCAAGGCATAGCAGAAACTGTTCATTATTAAAAAAAAAGAATGTACCCATTGAGAAGTTCTTTCTTGGCTTTCTCCTTCTGCTGTTGTGTTTTGTCTTGCTATTGGGAACCAAGGTAGCTCACTGGCATAGTCATCCTATTAATGTGCCTAACTTTACCTTCAAACTTTTTTCTTTTCCACATAAGTGACCCAGATCCCTAACCACATGTACCAAACCAAACTTCATGTGCAAGTTCATGGATGTTTGGGTCTCATTATTAAATAGCTTAGTTAAAAATAGACTGCACAGTAATGTCTTAAATTGGTATATATTAGGGTTCTCTGTCCTGTCCTGTCTGGTCCTCTCTTGCTAGTGGATTATAAAAAGCAAAAAGGTGAACCTATCCTAATACCTTTCTAAACTCTCAGGAGTCTGGGTTCTGAGGGCCATTGATTATGGCTTTCCCATGAGCACTCCTAGCTCTCATTCCTTTCTCCATGCTGTCCTTGGGAACAGGTGACTATTGTGGTTAACCCAGTGGTGTCTGGGTAATGCCACCCATGTGTTTACTACTGCGTACTGGTGTTTATGCAGTTTCTTCCATATGCAATGGCAACGTGAAACATTTGTTCTCATTTCCAAGTTCCTGAGTTTCAGGTACGTGAATGTGTAAGCCTGCTTCTGCATAATCAAGGGTGAAATTCCAATTGAAAAACCATTGGGTTTATTATTATTATTTTTAGTTGTTGCATCTAAAATATAAATCTCCTAGGTTTGATAAATGGTAGTTTAAATTTAATTTTCTTCTGTTTTGCTGTTATCTTGTTCATACTGGCAATTTATTCATTGCTTTTTTTTCTCACTTTTAGACTTCTACTGGTTGGTGGATGTGAAACTGCTGGAGTGGGCATATCGAAAGCGTCCAGCTGTGGCCTTTCTGCATGGAGAGTCCTCTCAGGATCCCCTTATTATAAGCAAGTTACTAATGGTGGAGACAAGGTCACTGCGGTAAGCTTTAGTTACAGCATTTCATCTTCTCCCTCCCTTCCTCCCTCCTTCCCTCTTTCCTTTCTTCCCTCCCTCCTTCCTTCCCTCTTTTCCTTCTTTCATTTATTTTTTATTTTATTTTTTGTAACTTGTGGGGCTTGAACTCTGGGCCTGGGCACTGTCCCTCAGCTCTTCAGCTCAAGCCTAGCACTCTACCACTTGAGCCACAGTGCCCCTTCCAGTTTTGAGTGTTTTATTGTAGATAAGACTCTCACAGACTTTCCTGCCGAGGCTGGCTTTGAACTGTGATGGTCAAATCTCAGCCTCCTGAGTAGCTAGGATTATAGGCGTGAGCCACCAGTGCTTGGCTTCTTTCATTTCTTGGTTTGTTTGTTTCTATGCTGGTACTGGAGCTTGAGCTCAGGGCTCTGTCCCTCAGTTTTTTTTGCTCAAGGTTGGTACTCTGCCAATTGAGTCACAGCTTTACTTCTGACCTTTTGGTGGTTGATTAGAAATAAGAATCTTATGTTGAGCTGGAAATGTGGCCTAGTACCACATGCCTAACATGCATGAAGCCCTGGGTTCAATTCCTCAGTACTACACACATAGAAAAAGCTAGAACTGGTGCTGTGGCTCAAGTGGTAGAGTGGTAGCCTTGAGCTGAAGAGCTCAGGGACAGCGCGCAGACCTAGAGTACAAGCCCCATGAACCAACAAAAAAAAAAAAAGAAAAAAAAGAAAAAAGAAAAAAAAGAAAAAAAGAAAAAAAAAGAAAAAAAAAGAAAAAAAGAAAAAAAAAGAATGTATGGACTTTCATGAATGGCCAGGCTTTGAACTGCAATCCTTAGATCTTAGCCTCCTGAGTAGCTAGGATTGCAGGTGTGAGCCATTGACATCTGCCTTATGTTTCTAATTGGTTGTGAATCCTTTGAAGGATGTAGCAGAGTACCTAAAAAAACAAAACAACTTGTCCATACTCAGGCTTGAACTCAGGATCTTGTGCTTACTGGGTTTGCTTGATCGCTCTGCAGGTCCTCTATCACTTGAGCCATACCTCAAAGGAACACTGAGATGAAGTCTCTCAGAATTTCTTGTCTAGGATGGCTTTGATCTGTGATACTTTAGATCTAGGTTCATGAGTAACTAGCATTATAGACATGGACCACTCAGGCCTGGCAAGAAATAGTGTCTTAAATGAGGATAGTTAGTTAATACTAATATAATTTAATACTTCCTGTAAGTAATAAATGTTATTAAGTGTTTTGAGATCAACTTGATCTCATTTCAATAATATTTTAGAAGGTTGAAAACAACCTAGTCGTAGTCAAGTTATTTGTATTTCCTTATTTAGAAATTAACATTTCTCAAGCATTGTTTTGTATTGGTAACTAATCTGAGGGCTTTTACTTGTGTTAACTCACCTAAGTTACTCATTGAGATAGATAATTGGAATAGCCCAGGTGAGTTAGTTAGGAAAGTGAAGAATTAAGTTGCCCTGAGCTATCTGGTTAGCAAATGAAGAACTTGAGTACAAACTCACAGAAGCTCCATAGTTTTGTTTTTCATCACCATGGTGGATTTTTTTTTTACATTTGTATTGTTTATTCACCTAGTCATTCACTTGTTCTGTAATTATTTATTGGAATTCTGTTTTTTTTTTGTCAGTACTAGGATTTGAATTATGGGCTCCTGTTTTGAGTAGACACAGCTTGTATTAGCTACCCTCTGTCACTGTGATAAAATACTTTCAATAAACAACTTATGGTGTGTGGTTTCAGAAGCTTCAGTCTAAGGCAGCTTTGTCCTGTTGTGACACTATACTTGATGGTGGAAATGAGTGATTGAGAAAGCTGCTCACCTCATGTCTACCAGGGCTAGGGGAGAAAAGAGGGTAGGAAGAGTGAGGGAGGAAGAGAGAGAGGGGGAGGGAGAGGGGGGACAGGAAGGATTGGGAGGGAGAGGATAGTCCCCTTTAAGGACACAGCTCCAGTGACCTACTTCCTTCTACTAGTATCATCTAAGGTTTCCACTTCCAGTGGCACCAAGCCTTTAACTCATGAGCCTTTGGGGAACCTTCTAGACTCAGTGTAGAGCTATGCCCCTTTAGGCTTGTGTTGCAATACTTCAATCACATAAACAAGCAAATAAACAGTTCTAAAACTTCTGTTTTCTTTGTGGTAAGGCCTGCTGTTGAAGCTGTGTCTTTCCAGACCTCTTGGTCTAATTGATGCTTAATGATTAAGAGTTCTTTCTGTGGGGGTGATCTGCTGAGGCCCCACAGTCTGTTTATGGCCGTAGGAAGGGAAGAAAATAAAAGGTGTACATTTTTGTTTTACTATCTTAGACCAGAAACATCTCTGTTCATTTATTATAACTAATATGTGGCCCCTTCCTGCTTCAAAGGGATTGTGAAGCAGATTTTTTTTGTGTGTGTGTGTTTAGAAAGGGAAAAAGAAAAACAAAATCAACAAAACCCCTATACATTGGTGCTTGCCAGTTGTGCCTGCCCTATTGGCAGTCCTGTAATATTACGTACCTTTATGTGCTTAACTTGCACACAGGAAGCACTTGGAATGATTCACTCTGTACTTAGCACATTGCTTCTTAGGTAGGGGGCATTTATTTATGTATTTTTCAAGCAAGAAAAGAAACCAAGAAATTAAAGTGGCACAGCAGATGTGCTAAGCTGTTTGTTTTGATAATGAATGTATCTGTCCTATTACTTTTCTTCCCATATATTGATTTCAATATACTCTTCTGGGACAATGAATAGATTGGTGTTGAAAAGGAACTAATGAAGAAGTACCTTTAAAAAGAGATCTTTAGCAATTATAGTAATCTTGCGATATCATTTTCTTAACATTTGGCATATACTGGTAGACGATTGTGATTAACCCAACAAAGTAAGAATTTTTAGAGATGAGATTGACTTGCTGGTTTATATGACACCAGACCTGAAATCAGCTTCTATTTATAGCTGAGCTTGTGTCCTGCTGGGCTTTGTATCTTTCCTTCCATTTATTTTCCAAATGTTTATTATCAATTTATTCTTCCTAGAACACAGGGAAAGAGGGCAGGTTGATTATTATTAGCTACTTTTCACAGAGGAGGAACTTGAGAGCTGAAACAGGAAGGTCAGAAATGGAATCCACCTTCTAGTTCCTGTTGAGCCTTTCCCTCATGGAAGCGCTCTGTGTAGCTAACCTATGCTCTGACTGTACTGTCACCCACCAGAAAAGGTGAGATAGGAGTTACCTATACATGTAGAGCACCACACTTGTGGTTTGTAGAAGTGGACACATTATTTCCTGTTTGTAGGAATTTACTAAATGTGTTCATTTCTCTGACTTACTTACTTCATATGTATCTTGCAGTTTTTTTATTTTTTTTGGTTTTTGGGTCCGGTCGTGGGGCCTAAACTCTGGGCCTGGGCGCCGTCCCTCAGCTGTTCAGCTCAAGGCTAGCACTCTACCACTTGAGCCACAGCACC